AATGGAATAGAAAAAAGTGGGGTTGCTATTGCTCAGTTCTTGATCCAAGCAATTGAAGAAATGGGATCATCAAATGTTTTGCAAGTGGTAACAGACAATGTATCAAATTGTAGGGTTGTTGGATAGGAAATTCAAAGGGTACATGACCATATTTTTTGGTCCCCTTGTGTAGTTCATACATTGAACTTGATTTTTAAAGATAGTTGCTAAAAAATTTAATTGGTTGAAAAACACATATAAAAGGGGAAATACTATTGTTAAGTACATAATTAATCATTCATAGTCTTTGGCAATGTTTAGAGTATATTCAAGACTTGAGTTGTTGAAAGTTGCAAAAATGAGATTTGTCTCACATTATGTCTTGCTTAAGAGGCTCATTTATTGTTAAGAATCTCTTCATATAATTGTAGTTTCAAATCAATGGAAAGAATGGGTTAAACATGGGGATGAATATATAAAAGAGATGAGAGTTTTAGTTACTAAAACAATTAATAGTGAAATATTTTGGGAGGATGTTGAAACTATGATTAGTATTACAAAACCAATTTATTTGTTGATAAAATTTTGTGATGGTGAAAGGAGCAAAGATGGGAGAAATTTATGAAAAAATGGATATGATGCTTGGAGAAATGAAAGAGACAATGTGTAGTAATAAATATGCACATAGTTACCCTCACATGGAAAAAATTATTATAGCTAGGTGGACAAAGATGAATTATTCTCTTCATTATCTTGCTTTTGCTTTGACTCCAAGATTTTATGATCCTATTTATCTTGCAACTCTAGCTCTGGGAGGAATTGCAAGAAAAGCTCTCAATCTTGATAAAAAAGTTTTTAGTGGTGTTATGGAAGCTTTTGAAAAAATAGCTTGTAATGCATCTGAATATAAGTTATTGCGTGAACAATTTACCACTTTTCATATGAAAAAGAATTTGAATGCAAAAACAGAAGCTTAAATGGATGTAGTAACAATAGATGCAATTGATTGATGGTCAAATTATGGGTCAGAAACTCTAGAACTTTAAGAGGTTGCAATAAAAATTTTGTCTCAGCCTATTAGTAGCTCTTCAACAAAAAGAAATTGGAGCACTTACTCTTATATTCATAATGTGAAGAGAAATAGATTAAATTGATCAAGGGCTGATAAACTTGTTTATATTCATTCAAATATTAGATTTCAATCAAGATTCTGTGAAAGTTACAAGGATGGACCCTACAAGCAATGAGACATTGATCATGACAACACATGTTTGGAGGATTCTTGTGAAAGACTAACAGATATGAGGTGGAGATATTTGGATTCTGAGTATGTTGGAGAGCAGGATCAAGGAAAACATGCAAAAGGGAAAGCAAGAATGGAAATAGAAAGAAAACTTGAGTTGTGATGTAATTTTTGCATATCTTTTGCACTCCATGGTTATAAAAGCCTACTTTTGATGGTTGTTATTTGATTATTATTTAATATTATGTAATGCACTTATGATATTTTTTATTTTGCTGTGTAATTGATTGAGGCATTAAAGCTATATTGAATTGTATTTTGTTTTTAATATGAGTTGTATTGTTTTATCAACACTTTATATTTACAAATTATAATTTTCAATTGAATCATTTATACGATTTTATATCTATGTTAATTTGATAAATATTTTTTTAATTTTAGAGTAAAAAAAGTATAAAATTTAATTCAATAAAATATTAAAAATTTTAAAAATAATTTAACTGAAAAAAATTCTAACGTAACACATAACGCACCAATTAAGTTTGATAATGTACCACATTCTCGTACATACCAAGTTTGATAATGTACCACATTCTCATACATGTTACCGTACCACTATTTGAAACGTTGCACCACATTCTCGTACATGTTACCATACCACGATCTGAAACGTTGCACGTTGCCGGTAAAGCATCCTCATCATGAAGGGCATAATCAAACTCTGCCATTGGGTAGCATAGTCCACAGTCACTGAGCAGCCAAGTCTTGTTCCAACTAACCTCAAATCCTCCCCATTAGTGAGTTTTCTGGTTTGCTCGTGGATGCAAGTGTTGCCTTCTTGCAGAAGGCTTTGGGTTCGGCATTACACTTCCCTGGTTTGTATTTTAACCGGTAATCGGATTCCATCAAGAAGTCCTACCACCTAACTTGCTTGGGTGACAGCTTCTTCTAGGTTTTGAAGTAGCTCATCGCCATGTTGTCAAATTTGAACAATGAACGGGGAACTCAACAAGTAGTGATACCATGTTCGGAGGAAATCAATCACAACTGTCATCTTGTTCTCTTGTACGGTTTATCGCCTTTCTGCCTTGTTGAGCTTCTAACTCTCATAGGCAATGGGGAGACCTTCATGCATTAGTCCACCACATATCAGAGGCTTAGTTTCTATCTCATACGCCTCAAAGGGTCAAGTGTCTTTTGACAACCATTGTCCCACTTCCACGGTCCATTCTTATTGAGGTGTTCGATGAGTGGGTCGCTAATTTGGGAAGACCCACTCACGAATCTTCGGTAGTAGTAGGGGTGTTCACGGGTTTGGTTTGGTTCGGTTTTGGACCCAAACCAAACCGAACCGAACATGTCGGTTTTTTTTTCATAAGACATGATAGGTTTTTTTTTTTTCAAAAAACCGAACCAAACCAAACCGACTCAAGTCGGTTTGGTTCGGTTGACATGATCGGTTTTTAAACTTTTTTTAATTTATAAAAATTTTAATATAAATATAAATATATATAATACAAATATAAATATATAATAAAATATAAATATATATAATATAATATATACATATAAATATATATATAACAAATACAATATAAATATATATATAAATACAATATAAATATAAATATATATATAATATCTATATAATATATATATTAACAAATTGGGTCGGTTCGGTTCGGTTCGGTTTTATTTTAGGCAAAACCGAAACTGAAACCGAACCGAACCGATCGGTTTATAAAATTTTATAACCGATTGTGATCGGTTTGGTTCGGTTCGTGGTCGATTTGGTTCAGTTTGGTTCGGTCCGGTCGGTTTTGTTCGGATTTGAACACCCCTAGGTAGTAGTACATCAACCCAAGAAATAACTGCAGCTCCAGCACCTTATTAGTTGGCAGTTCCCAGCCTTCACCTTGGTCTCGTCCATGTGAACCTTCACCCTCCCCACCAGATGTCAAAGGAAAGGGATATTCCACGCTGGGCAAACACGCACTTCTCCTTTTAAAATGAGAATAGTCTTGCGAAACATGGTTCAATTTTCAAATTTCTGAATTTATGAAAATAAAAATAAAAAAAGAAACAAAAATATTAACAAACGCGCCTTTAATATTCCCTGCAAATATATTTCTGGTTTTAGTTAGTACTGCTTGGTTATAGTTGTTTAAATTGTCTCTAAAATCGTCAATGATCAATTTTTCTTAGATTGATTTTGCATTCCTTCGTTTTTGACTCTCATCATGCTTTCTCATTCTTTTCAATTCTAGTTGTATTGGTCTGGTAACAGTCCGCGGACATCGTGTATCCCATTTTCTTCGTATAATGGTCATTGTCGCACTCGATAGGGAAAGAGATTAGAAGAATCGACTCGGCGTTAAGTTAACATTGCCCTTGTTGCATGGACATATGCTTCAGACTTTCAACAGCTTTTCTTCTCCGTACTGGAGCCCTGTAATGGAAAATGATTATACTATCCTCACAACTTGGTCACATAATTAAGAAATTGACCTTATGTGACCATCATTTTACAAACTGCCAACTCATTCCAGGTCAAAATTTTGTCCCTGTTTCAAGCACCTTTTGTTTTCGTTTTTTGGTCCAAGGAGCGACAGAGGATCTTTACCTGTTGGGTTAATTACTTCAAGTCTTCTCGTATTTAGAAGCTGCGAAGCACAATTGTATACTCTGCAATTTTAACTCATGAATTTTCAGTTATAAACAAAATAATTTAATATTTTTCTGATATTATTATGCATAAGATTCTCCCCACCTATTACTTCAGGTAATTTTATAGCTACCGTCAGAAAATAAGGTGTATTTCTATAATGCATATCTTAGGTAATTCTTTTTTTTTTTTTTGATATTTTTTATCGAAAAATTTAGGTGAGAGGAGGATCTCCCAATCCAAGATCAGGGCAAACTCCAAGCTTAGCCAGAATTTGCAGTTGATTTATAGATCATTCACCAAGAAGGACAGCAGCACTCGAATTCTCAACATAATGCAAGCATCAACTGAATTCTAACAAACTGAATTAATCCCGTTGACTGTGTTACATAATTCATTTATTCATTAAAAAGATAGTTTGGTCAAAATACCTTAACCCATGCCCATGGCCGTTGCAAATCCGTTGCACCTTTTTGACTCGGTGATTTCAATGATATTTGTGACAATTTATGTAATAAAATTTAATACATTTATAATGAAAGGGTTGTTAGACTTTCGAGCTAGTTGTTCAATAAGTTTGTTTATCAAATAACTTGTGAAAAGTTGGAAGTCCTTTTAGTTAGAAGTCAAAACATACAAGTCTAAAATTCAGTAATTCTCTAATCGCCTAAGGCAGGCAGGCTAAGGTATATAATAGCTTTGTAATAAATAAGTTAAAACACCTTTAAGCTAATGAATATTCAATGAGTTCATGGATCAAATAAATTGTGAAAAAAAAATCGAATTTTAATTAATTAGAAATCCCCAGACCCATAACATTAATTGTCTCTTAAATAAAAGATTTACGCAATTGATTGTCGGTTTTAGGGTCCATGGTAAATGACAACAGTACAGTCGTGAAGTTGACATTCAATTTATTTTATGCCACATACACGGCAAATGGATGCTCACCATACAATTTCGGATAGGAAGAGATATTCAGGCAGATATTAATCTACCATTTCACTGGCATCTAATCCGAAAGTACATGACTCCTCTATGGGCAAGATAATATTAATTTGTTGACAACGTATCCCATATGTATTACACATTTTGTAGCTTTGATCATCATCCATGGCGGAGGAAAACAAACATCACATGGTTTGTATACCATTCCCGTCTCAAAGTCATATAAAGGCAATGCTAAAACTAGCAAAGCTTCTCCACCATAGGGGCTTTTACATAACTTTTGTCAATACAGAGTACAATCAAAAGCGCTTATGCAGAGCTGGACAATCTCCTGCACTTGAAAGCCTGCCAAATGATTTCAAATTCGAGATAATAAAGGATGGATTGCCTCCTTTTGATTCCACCGCCGGCCCAGACTTCATTTCCCTCTGGCGATCCCTTAAAGACAACGGCACCACTCTGGTTTGGAACCTTCTTGCCACACTTAGTGATGGTGCAACTCTTTCCCACAACCCACCAGTTACTGCTATCATCTCAGATGGCTTTATGCCATTCACCATGGAAGTTGCTCAAAGGGCTAGAGTGCCTATCATCCTATTTTGGACCATCGCTGCCTGTGCTTTCATGGGATGTTATCAGTTTCAGGCCCTCAAAGAAAAAGGCTTGGCACCTTTAAATGGTATATATTCCAGGCTCATTTATATATGGCTTCTTAATTTATTTAAATCATTATATTTGAGACATGTTAATTTCGATTATGATGTGAATTTCACGCAGATGCAAGCTATTTGACAAATGGGTACTTGGAGAAGACTATTGACTGGATTCCAGGAATGAAAGAAATCCGCCTTCGAGATCTTCCAAGTCTCATTCGAACTGTTGATCCAAATGACATATTGTTTAACGCCGTCATGGAATCAGCACAAACTGCTGCCAAAGCCTCAGCTAATATCATTCATACGTTTGATGCATTGGAGGCAGATGTTTTGCATGTGCTCCGATCAATGTTCCCACGAGTGCATGCCATTGGTCCCATTCAGTTGCATCTCAATCAAATTTCGAACCTAGATGAAAAGTTGAAGTCTTTAGGCTACAGCTTATGGAGAGAAGAATCAGAGTGTCTAGGTTGGCTAGACTCCAAGGAGGCCCAGTCTGTTGTATACGTGAATTTTGGGAGCATAACAGTCATGACAGAACAACAATTTATAGAATTCGCATGGGGACTTGCTAATAGCCGGCACTACTTCCTCTGGATAATTAGACCAGATTTAATTATGGGCGAATCTGCCATTTTACCACCTGAATTTAGTGCAGAAATTAAAGATAAAGGTCTAACTGTTAGTTGGTGCCCGCAAGAGGAAGTCTTGAACCACCCTTCAATTGGAGGATTTTTAACTCACGGTGGCTGGAATTCAATTGTTGAAAGCATCTGTGCTGGAGTTCCCATGCTGTGTTGGCCATTTGGAGCGGATCAGACTACAAACTGCAGGTACCTATGCAGGGAATGGGAGATAGGTATGGAGATTGACAAAGATGTGAAGAGAGAGGAAGTTGAAAAGCTTGTAAGGGAATTAATGGGAGGAGAGCAAATGAAGAAGAGGGCTATGGAGTGGAAGAAATTGGCAGAGGAGGCAACTAGTCTGGATGGTTCATCTAGTTTGAGTTTGGAAAACTTGATTAACAAAGTATTGTTGTAAAAAATGAATTGAAAAGTAGCTTATTATGCATTGCAATGATGCATGGCTGGTTTTCAAATTGATTATGGATTTGCTTTGAGTTCAGGAATCTCCTTAAATTTATGATACCAATATCTCATTGGCTCACTATATATGCATTAATCACTGTTTGATCTTCTCCGCCGCCATCAATCCCCACTCTCTTCGAGATATGCTCACTGCTTATTGGTGGAGTATTAGGGAGCACTCCCTGATTATTTAGCTAGCTAAGCGAGGTGTTAAGGCCCACGGTACTTTGATGCCACTTGTTAGGGACAACACACTCACATAATAAAAATACATTCACAATAAATTCAAGAAGGGGTAAAATATAGTCATCAAAACTTATGTGAAAAACTCAAATCGGGAAAAACCATGGACCAAGAGGAGAAAAATATCACCACTATAGGAAGGACTTTTATACAGAACTCTCGAGTATTTTTGTCAACTCGAGATACTCACTCACAAAAGAATTCTCACTTTTCTATCACTCTCATTATAGTAAACTCCCTTTCTATGCAAGAGTTTTTTTTTCACTCTATCTCTCTCAAGCTTCCTTCACTTGGTTGCTTGTTCGGTGTGTTGAGAATGGCTGAGAGCTCCCCTATTTATAGGGGAGGAGTAGCAGCATGCATGTAATGCATGTTGCAGCTTCGACTACGGTTGCAGCTGCATTAAATGCAGCTATCTTCAAACATTGCAGTTGCATTAAAAGAAGTCGCTCCTTTCATCCATTTCACATGGGGATGGCCCCACTAAGCTGTATCACATGGGGATGGACCCCACAAATCTCCCCCTCCAGACCCATGCTTCTAGGAGGAAATCCTTGTCATGCTTCTAAGTAGATCTTATGCCGACAAGTTCTTTGCACATTTCGAATTTGTCACGGGAAATCAGTTTAGTTATCATATTCGAAAGGTTTTTATTTGTGGAGATCTTTTTTTTTTTTTTTAAAAAAACACTTATCTTCCACCTGCTCTTTTATCCAATGGTACCGCACATCGATATGCTTCGTTCGAGAGTGATACATGGAGTTTTTCCTCAAGTTTATTGCACTTTGACAATCATAATAGACTACATACTTCTCTTGGTGCAAACCAATCTCTTGAAGAAAGCTCTTCAGTTAAATCATTTCTTTTCTTGCTTCTTTAGTAGCAATGTACTTGGCTTTAGTTATTGATAGTGTAACGCACTTTTGCAACTTTGACTGTCATGATATAGCTCATCCTGAAAATGTAAATACAAACCCAAAAGTGGATTTTCTGTGATCAGGATCACCTGTCATATCAGCATTTGTGAAACCTTCTATGATTGCATTTAACCCTCTAAAGCATAGACACGTCTTTGACGTACCCTTCACATATTTGAGTATTCACTTTGTAGCTTCCCAATATTTTTTTCTCGGGTTGTCAAGAAACCGACTAACCACTCCAACAGCATGAGTAATATCTAGTCTAGTATATACCATGGCGCACATCAAGCTTCCAACTACAAAGGAATAAGAAACTTTTGCCATCTTCTCTTTTTCTTCCGTTGTTTTAGGACACATCTTTTTACTCGACTTCGGGTGACCAGCAAGAGGAGTACTAGCTAGTTTAGCATCTTTCATATTAAAGCGCTCTAGAACACGCTCAATATAATTCTCTCGAGACAACCATAACTTTCTCTCCTTCTTGTCCCGAACAATCTTCATCCCCAAGATTTGTTGTGCAGGATCTAAGTCTTTCATATCAAAAGTCTTGGATAGGTCTTTCTTCAGTTTGGTTATCTACTCCTTGTCATGTCCTATAATCAACATGCCATGCACATACAACAACAAAATAATAAAGTTATTGTTAGAGAACTTTTTGAAGTACACATATGGATTTGAAAGTCCTCTTATATGCTTTATTCTTCATGAATGAGTCAAACTTCTTGTACCATTGCCTTGGTGCTTGCTTTAATCCATACAGACTCTTATTCAATTTACACACCATGTGTTCTTTCCCCATGACTCTGAATCCTTCTATCTATTCCGTGTAGATTTCTTCTTCCAAATCTCCATGAAGAAATGCAGTTTTAACGTCCAACTGCTCTAATTCAAGATTCTAGCTAGCTGCTAAGCTTAAAAATGTTCAGATAGAAGTCATTTTCACAACCGGTGAAAATATTTCATCAAGGTCAATTCCTTTCTTTTGTCTGAACCCTTTGACCACCAATCAAGCTTTGTGTCTGACCAACTTGCCATTTCCATCTTTCTTTACTTTAAAAATCCATTTGCATTTGAGTGGTCTTTTACCTTTTGGAAGTTCAGCCAACTTGTACGTGCCATTTTTTCACAAAGAGCTCATCTCTTCTTTCATGGCTTCCATCCACTCGTTTTTTTCTGGATGAGTCAATACTTTTTAAAAGTTCTCTAGCTCACCTTCATCAGTAACAAGGACATACTCAGAAGATAGATACTTGGATGATGGTTTCTTTTCTCGTTTAGATTGCTTGAGAGGTTGTATTACTACTCTAGTGGGGTGGGTTGCTCCTCCTACTGTTGCTTCTCCTATTGTTGCTCCTCCTGCTTCCAACCTCATCATCAGCTTCTTCTGGTATGATATTATCTCCATCTGTGACATAATTTGATGGAGATGGAATGGTAATCTCATTTGAAATCACACCATTCTCTTTTTTGGCCTTCTCTATTTAGGTATCAACTCCAAACTCATCTTCACGGAAGACCACATTTTTGCTCCTGATAATCTTTTTCTTCTCTGGGTCCTACAGTCTATAGCCGAATTCTTCATTTTCGTATCCGACGAAGATACAGGGAATAGCTTTGTTATCAACTTTCGATCTCTGCTCTTTCGACACATGAATAAAAGCTATACAGCCAAACACTTTCAAATGAGTGTACGACACTTCTTTGCCTCTCCATACTTCTTCAGGGATATCAAATACCAGTGGAATTGATGGACTTCTATTGATGATATAGCAGGCCATGCGAGTTGCTTCACCCAAGAATGACTTAGGCAGTTTCGCCATCCTAAGCATACTTCTCACTTTTTCAACAATAGTGCGATTCATTCTCTTAGCCACACCATTGTGTTGTGGTGTTCCAAGAACAGTTTTTTTCATATTTGATCCCATGGCTAGAGCAATATCCTTCAAACTCTTTTGAGATATATTCACCACTATTGTTTGATTGGAGACACTTTAGTTTTTGGCCTATCTCCCTTTCCACCGTTGTATGGAATGATTGAAATGCCTAGAATGCCTAGTCTTTGATTTTTAGGAGATAGATCCATACCTTTCTTGAAGCATCATCAATAAAAGTAATAAAATATTTATTTTCGCCTATCGATTCAACTTTCATAGGACCACAAACATCAGAATATATTATATCCAGTACATTTGATTTTCTATCAAAAGTCTTCTGAAAAGATACCCTATGTTGCTTGCCTAATAAGCAATGATCACAGGGTTTAAGTCAGATGCCACTTGCCAAGGAGATAAGTGATCTTTTTACCAAGATCTGCAACCCCTTTTCACTCATGTGTGCTAATCTCTAATGCCACAAGTTTGGAGATTGTTCTCCTTTGGCTATTCACCTCACCGTGACAAACTTCAAAATTTGTCTTATACAGCGTGTTGATGCCTTTTCTTTCGCTAGCACCAGCGATCCCTTGATGAGTGTTGATGTTTCATTGGTGAAGTGGTTGGCATATCCTTCGCGATCAAGGAAAATTCTTAATATCAAAATCATCCGCATATCAGGTACATGTCGGACATTCCTTAGAACAAGTATGCATCCAATATTTGTCTTGACACGAATTTCACCAATTCCCACGATCTTGGAGAAGCTAGTATTTCCTATTCTCACTGTATCGAAATCCCCTGCTTTATACGTGCAGAAGAAATTTTGACTGAAGTGAGATGATAGGATGTTGCTGTGTCAATAACCTATTCTGAATCGGATGTGGACACCTACATGCACTCATTTTCTTCATTCATGACGAGGGCAATAGAATAGTCATTTTGTACTATTGCGGTTGTATTTATGTCATCACATTTCTTTCTTTGTCCACCCCTTTGCTTTGGTGGGCGTGGACAATTATTTTTAAGGTGATCTTGTTAGTCACAATTCCAACAGCCTCTGCCTTGTGATTTGGACCTTCTTCTGGATTTGTCATGCTATTTGTTTGGATTTCTTTCTAGATTCCTTCATTTGTCCTTAGTGACGAAAGCTTGTCTCGAGCTTTCTGACTACTTTTTTATCTTCTCATTGAGCAAGTTAGCTAATGTGACTTCTCCCAACTCTATGGTGGTTTTGCCATGGAGAATTGTCATTGCTAAATTATTGTAGGAGGATGGCAATGAACTTGGAGTAAGATTGCTTTATCTTCTTCCTCAATCTTTACTCCAACAGATTGCTTTATCTTTTTCTTCAATCTTGACTCTAACATTTGCAAGCTACGTGATTAGTCCATTAAATACATCTAAGTGAGACAAAAAATTTATACCTTCCCGCATCTGGAGTACATAAAATTGTTTCTTGAGGTACAATTTATTTGTTAATGTTTTGGACATGTACAGACTCTCTAGCCTCGTCCAAATTTTGCTCGTTCTTGGCTCATCAACGACATTGTTGAAAACATCATCTCATAGGTGCAATCTGATTGCACTAGCCACCCTTTCATTTATGTTAGTCCAATCATCACTTTTCATGGACTCTGACTTTTTATCTTTGAGTGCCTTGTGAAAGCCTTGTTGGATCAGCAAATCCTTTATTTTGCTTTGCCATGTGGAAAATCCATTTTCACCATTAAATTTTTCCACATCATATTTTACTCCCAACATTTTCACAAAATTTACTGTGAATAGTGCCCTCGTGTATGTGCCGTATATGTGAACAGTACTATCGTATGTATAAACAGTACTATGTACATATGAACAGTACTACCATATGTATGAACATTACTATGTGCATATGAACAATACTAGTATGTATGAAC